GTGTATATGCAAACAGCGCCGTGCAGTGGCGTAATATGGTGCTACAACCTAACTGACCGTTACATAGTCCCCCCCGGTGAGAAAAAGGCTGTCCACAGCCGTACACAACTGCAGATGCAATTTAAAACCAAACACAAAAGTATCCTATACATAGACATACAATTGAAGTCGGGACACACAGGGCGAAGACAATGTAGACCAATCAATCACTTTCAGCAAAACAAAAAACATAAATGTACAGTGGATTTCTCTTTTTTTTTTTTTTTAAGATGCCAGGAAACATAAACCTTACTTCTGCAAACATCAATGAACACAGGCGAGCAAACAATCTACACCATTGTAATACTAAACAGTATAAAAGTCCAGAAAAACAAAAACAAAAAAGTCAGAACAGAAAGAGCTCACTTTAGATCCATTTTGTCTGTGTGAAATGCATTAGTCCATTTCTTGTCACACCAGCCTGATGTTATTCTGGGGTCACGTCTGGGTCTGAGATTGTAATGTCCTGGGCCTGGGTCAGAGAGGGACTCAGGGGAGGGGCAGTCCATAGGAACAGAGTCAATGTCCTGCAAAACAAAAGGTAACGCACTCAAGGCAGTTTCATTGTCCGCCTGCTGGGTGTGAGTCATGTGGGGGGCAATATCAATGTCCAAAACCTCATCGCCCCCACAGACGGCAGGAGGAGAAACAGGGTGGCCTTTGGTGGAGAGAGAGTCCCACGTGTGAAACGGTTGCATATTCACAACATGATAAACACCAGCATTAGCACCAGAGTCCATCCTAGTGAGTCTGTAGTTCACGTCGCTAAGTTTCTGCGAAATCTGTAGCGGTCCTTCAAATAGGGGTGCTAGTTTAGCAGTAAAGCTGGACTGAGCGTCTGATCGAGGGTGGGTTTTAACTCTGACGAGATCACCAACATTAAAGGTGGCATGACGACGCCTTAAGTCATAGTAGTGCTTCTGCCTGTCATGACTATGGTCAAGAGCAGCCCTTGCATGACCATGGGCTTCCTGTAAGGAGGCTCTAAGAGTCTCAGGGTAAGGAACACCTGGCTCATCAACACCGTCACTAGAAGGTTGCGTGATAAGGTCAAGTGGGGTGTCTAGCTCACGGCCATAAAGCATCATGGAGGGACTATGTCCCGTGCTATCATGAGGCGCTGTACGCAGGGCAAAACAAATGTGTGGGAGGTACTTGTCCCATGAAGTGTGTTTGTCTCCTACGTAAGCACGTATGGCAGTTTTCAGAGTCCGGTTGACACGCTCTGTAGCGTTAGTCTGAGGGTGATATGCTGTAGTAAGTCTGTGTACAGAGCCTAAGGCAGAGACGAGTGTTCAAACAGCTCACTCACAAAAGGAGACCCTCTGTCAGAAATAAGATAGGCAGGTGCACCATGTCTAGCAAAAATGTCAGTAACAAATTTACTAGCAGCCACATGTGATGTGGCTTCTCTTACAGCACTCGCCTCTACCCATTTGGAGAAGTAGTCCACAAACACAATCAAATACATATTACCAGCTGCAGTACGGGGAAGAGGGCCGACAAAGTCCACACCTACGTACTCCCAGGGTTTTTGTGGAACAATTGGGACCATAAGACCAGCTGGTTTTCTTTGACTAGGCTTAGTAAGCTGGCAGACTGAGCATGAAGTTACATAACGTTTCACATCAGCCGCCATTTTTGGCCAGAAAAACCTGAGACGTAGTCTCGCTAAGGTCTTTGAAACACCAAGATGACCTGCAGTGGGGTGGTCATGATAATAGTTAAGTAAGGTTCCCCTCATAGTAGTAGGCGCAAACAGCTTGAGCTCTTTTAAAGGGTGCATAGTACATTGAGCTTTTGAAACCTTACAGTACAGGAGAGAATCATAAGCAACATACTGTGGCAGATTAACATTGTCCACATTGTTTTGTGAGTCTGTCTCAATGTCCCTTAACAACGGCCCAGTGACCGGGTCATCAAGCTGCAGCTGCCTGATTTGAGAGCGATCTGCTAGCAGAACAAGGGGCAGGGCACGAATGTCCAAACTGCCAATAACAGCATGCTCCGGCAAGAGATCTATGGGAGAGTCACAAGTTGAGGCCAATGGATTTCGAGACAGCGCATCTGGCACTTTGTTGCGTATGCCAGGTTTGTGCACTATGGTGAAGTCAAAATCCTGAAGTCGGAGTGACCAGCGGGCAAGCCTGCCTGTCGGATTCTGACGAGACATGAGCCACTTGAGACTATTATGGTCAGTGTAAATAGTTACATGCATACCTTCAACATATGGCCGAAAATGCTCAAGGGCCCAAATGACAGCAAGGCACTCCTTTTCTGAAGTGCTATAGGGCAGCTCGGCTTTGTGAATAGAGCGGCTAGCAAAAGCCACTATATTCTCACGACCCTTGTCATCTTTTTGCATTAAAGCTGCACCGAGACCGATGTCACAAGCATCCGTGTGAATGAAAAAGGGACGCGCAAAGTCTGGGAATGACAAAACAGGGGCTGATGTGACACGCTGAATCAAAATGTCCATAGCTTTTTGACAGTTGTCGTCCCACTGGAAAGTCGCATCCTTTCTTGTGAGCGCATGTAGAGGCTCAGCATGCCGAGCAAATCCTGGATAAAGCGGCGGTAGTATCCAGTCAGGCCAAGGAACTGCCGGACATGTTTCACGGTAGTTGGGGTGTTGAATTCCGTCACTGCCTTGATCTTGTCCGGGTCCGGTTTAATACCCGAAGATGTGATGCGGTAGCCGAGGAAATTGAGTTCTTCGAGACAGAACTGGCACTTTCTGAGCTTAAGCGACAGGCCAGCAGATTGGAGTCTGGTAAGCACCTCCTCGAGGTCTGCCAGATGCTGTTCAAAGGTGGGAGATGCAATAACAATGTCGTCAAGGTAAACAGCACATGTTTTGTAAATGAGACCAGCGAGTACAGAGTTCATAAGTCTCTGGAAAGTCGCGGGAGCATTGCAAAGCCCAAAGGGTAACACTCTAAACTGGAAAAGACCACAATGTGAGATAAAGGCAGTCTTTACTCTAGACTCTTCTGCAACTGCGACCTGCCAATAACCTCGCGCTAGGTCGAGTGTTGTGATGTATTTACCCCTTGCTAGAAAGTCCAGTGACTCATCCACACGAGGTAAAGGATATGAGTCTTTTTCTGTTATCTGGTTGAGACCTCTAAAATCAACACAAAATCTTGGGTCTCTGGCTTCTCTGTTAACAATGACCACAGGAGCTGCCCACGGACTAGTGGAAGGCTCAATGATATTGTCCTGTAACATTTGTTGTACTTGTTCCTCTATCACCCGTTTCTTAGCAGGTGATGTACGATAAGGCGGGAGATTCACAGGTTTGGCATCCCCTGTTTCAATGACATGTTCAGTAAGTGATGTTCGACCAAGGTGACCATCAAACATCGGTCCAAACTTGGCGAGCATCTTGAGAAGAGCATTTTTGTCGTCTTCAGTTAAGCTGGCCTCTGACATTTTGGTTTTAAGGTCGGAGGTCAGTGTGTCCATTGACATAATATTTACAGTTGTACCTGTGAAATCCGCTGGACTGTCCTCCTCATCCATGAGCGGGCAGGGGGCATCGTCTACAAACACTGTTCTTGTGGGAATATGAATGGAGATAGAGGCTCTAGTCATGAAATCCATTCCCAAAATGAACGGAGTAGACAGTTCTGGGATGACAGCAAAACGCTGGTAATAGTTTTTGTTCATGAATCCAACATTAAGCCAAGTGACACCATCTGGAATGCAAGGAGCGTTGTTAGCAAGATTAACTGGTGGGCCCTTCCACTCACTCGTCTTAGCGGGATAAGTGCCATTAACTTGAATAAGATCTGCTCTAATGGCTGAGAGAGAAGCTCCTGTGTCAAGAGTAGCTTCAACGGGAGTGCCATTAAAGTTCAATTTTGTTCTGAGAGGAGTATTCCAGTGTACTAACGAAAAATTGTCCTCCAAGTGTCCCAAAACTGGTCCGTCTTGTGGTGGTTGAGGCTCGCTTAGTGCCTGGAGGGAGGGTGGCCTCTGTGAAATTTCCTCCCCCCTCTGTAGTTTCCCGGCTGCCTGTCTTGAGGTGGGGCAGGGGTGCTACTGTTTTCACAGTTTGGCTGGCCCAAGTATGGGGGACCAGGCGGTTGAAATGACTGCGCACTAGGCCCCGCAGACGCAGCAGCAGTCTCATTTGTAGGGGATGAATTATTACAGTTAGGACAGGTGCGTGTGGTGAACCCTGGCAATGAGCATTTGAAACAGTGGGGTTCTGATTTGTAGTGTTCCTTGTAACGAGAAGTCTGCGGCCCACTTGGTCCAAGCACTGAGTGGAGCTCATGAGCACGAAGCAGGAGGTCCATTACCGAAGTCACATGAGCACCATAAAGTGCAACTCTGTATTTTTCAAGTGAATGTTTTCTAATCAGTTCAATCTGCTCTCTTTCAGGAGGAGGACTTTTCAGTTTGTTGTACTCACTCAGCATATGGGCGACAAAAGTTGGCAGGGGCTCATCTTGAGCCTGGATACGATCCAACAGTCCTCTCAGAATGCGTTCTTGGTTGTCCGAGGGTAGAAAAACAGTCTGAAACAATTGACAAAACTGAGCCCAAGATGTTATATGGGAGCTCAGAGCTTTGAACCATTTGCTTGGCTCTTTGGCAAGGAAATGTGGAAGTTCGTTCAATAATTGTCCATCAGTAAGACCCAATGAGGATCTGTATGCAGTTACTGCCTGTAACCAATCTTCTGGCTGTACCTTGTTGTCCGCTGCGAATACGGGAGGTTCCAGCTTGGCATGGTGCAGAGCTGCTGCTATCACTCTGGAAGTATTGCTCAGCTCCAGTGTGTTAGGGCTGAGGGACGGGTTGGTGAGAAGTGTAGGTTCACCTCTGTTCATTGCAGGAACATGCGGTGTGGAAGTAGCCATTGGAAAAATGTTTGATGGCTGGACCGCAGGAGGGGTGGGGTTTTCTTTGGAGAGACGGTCCCACTGTCTCAGCATAGTTCTTTGCATGTCCAGCGAGTCACGTAAACAGTCACTAAGTCTGTTAACTTCTGCTCTCAAATCAACTACTTCTTTACTAAGGTCAGGTTTATCCTCCAAAATAATGTGTTGCATTGGCAAAGAGATAAGCTCCATGTCAGAGTCCTCGTCCTCTAGCATGTCCATAAAATGGGCCATTGTACTTCATAAAAAAAAGGAAAAGCACAGTACCGTTCTAAAGTAGGATTGTAAATGAAAAATCAATTAGGCCTAGTCTAAACTGACGAGAAAAATCTACGAGGTACTTTAAAAATGCTGGCTAACCTTAAAAAGATACAATAGCACTCAAAATAAGACTTTAATGCGGGACTAATGCTCTAACATTGCACAAGTGTAAATAAATCTTTGGTAACTGCAGCTAACGCCTTGTGCATTCCACATACTATGGATATTTTTTAGTCGTTGTTGCAATATTTCTTAGTAGCATACGATAGAAGAACTCGTCCCTAAAGTCAGTACTCACTGCCAAGTCCGGGACAGTCTAAATGCTGGAGGGCAGGCAGGGAAAGTTTTCATGTGCTCAAAATGGGGTAAAAACATTCAGCATAGCTCCACTACTGCATTTCAGTTTGAGAGAAAAATAAAAATGTGCGTAGGGAAGCAAATCCAGCGTGATCCTGATGTCCACTAACCACTGATATAGCGTGTGGAATAGCGTTAGCTTATTGTCCCTTCACCGCAGAAAAACAGCAGCGCGTGCACTCACGGTTACATCCAGAGTATAGTCGGTTACCACTCGAATCTGAGCTCCAGCGATGACCGGGGAAAACCTCAGCAAAAGCAAATATAAGTCCGATATACATTTACGTGAGGCAGCTTAATCCTTTGTGAAGGAAAACTCGATCGAGGTCCTGGGAAAAATAGTTCGGGCGCCAGTTGTAACGTGGGGTGGCAGTCTTCAGGTGAAAAGCCTTTAGCAATGCACTCAAAAAGGGGAAAAAGACTCGTTTTATCTCCACTTACTTTATTGATAGAACAATGCCAGGTCTTCATATAATGCCATACATGACAGTTATTTCACCCGTACCACTTGTTACGTAGAGTTGGAGAGAGAGACAAAATGCGTGTGCCTCTTGCTAACAGCATACATACAGTGTATATGCAAACAGCGCCGTGCAGTGGCGTAATATGGTGCTACAACCTAACTGACCGTTACAATAGCTGAGTGGCTAAAGAAGGAAGAACACTGGAGCAGACTTTGTGTTTGTGTCCTACATTATCTAATAATCAAAAAGTCCAATCCATAAGTAATCACTAGGTTACATGATGTCGCTAGATGTAGTTATCATGATCAGTCAAGTTAAAGCAAGCTCAAACAGCTAAAATGCTAACCGGAGTTAGCATTTTAGCTGTTTTGCTAAGTTAGCTAAGGAGGCTCCTTCGTTTTAGTCTGAGGAGAAACAGCTGTTCATGATTTAGCCTGTGTAGCCTTCTAGTCACAACAAAAGCACATAAATACTTTAGTGCTAAAGTATTCAGCTCTAAAACCACAAAGTGTGTGGTGTTTTTCCTTGATTACAACAACTGGAGAACAAAAGTGATCAACCTGTATACCACTAAAAAGGCAATAATAACTTGAGCTAATGTTGCTTTTTTCCTTTATCAGGAGAACCATAGTCTGTGCCTTGCATCTGTGGAGAGGACTGCTGAGCTGAATGCATGGAGAGACGTGATGTGGATTTATGTTTTCTTTTATTTTGTGCATAACTACTAGTAAAAGTCATCCAGTGATCCTCCTTGTGTCGTGGTCCTTCTTCAGACAGCGCAGAACATGGAACACAACGCAGATTACACTAATAAAGGGGTTAACAGGTGTGCACCAGGTCAAGACTGTAATTGAACAATAAAAACAAGTTACAACGGTGCCCACACCCGTTACAAGTCCATTTCCTGCCATACAAGAACAGTTTGGGGTAAGGATGTACCCCAAGTCTTTGTGGCCATAGTTACTCCCAGGCATCATAAGGCTTTGACTTAATGCCCACTCTCTGACTGGGGAGCACATCTGCCTCAAAACACGGAACTCAGTACCAGAGTCAAAGTATTTCACATTCTTTACATAACACATAATTGTCTGCATCGATAGATTTATATGATTTAGGTTCTCTTTTGTATAGACACCGGGGGCCTGAGTGAGGTAATTATAGATATTAGGCCAGGTAACTGATGGCCATTTTCTCCTATCTACAACCCACTGTTCTGTGAGAATAGTATTATTATTACATGTTTATTTGACAGGCACAGAACAAAAAGTATTGTTACAGGTAACCAATGCCATGTTCATAGGCCGTATAGCAAACAGCTAATTGGCAGTCGCTAAGGCATAAAAATATTAGAGATTTCAGTTCAGCAGGTGAAATGTTCCAGAGCTGTGGCTCTTCGACTGCAAACGAAGTCTGACCAAATGATGTTTTACATCTTGCCGGTCTGCAGTGTGTGTGGATCAGGAACTGGTGCCATCGCAGAGGACCATGAAGATAACCTGCACGATCAGAACTATTCAGGGGTTCTGTGTAGTGTGTAGAGATGATAGCCATCCTAAACTAGCAAACACAATACAGGTACAGAAGCCAATTATGACAGGTTGAAACAGCTTAGCCCCAATTTTAAGTTCATTTTAATAAAAATACATGAAATCAAATGAAGTTTACTACTATTTAGCAATGTTAACAATTCAGATAGCTCATTTGTTTCAAAACTTTGTATACACATTTTTGATATTTGGGTTTATGGACTGACAGATTTATTGCTAGTTAGCATAGACTCATTAGGTCAAACCGCTATAATTATGCAAATAAAAAGCAAACAAATAACTCAGAGACAGTTTTATTAAACTTTGATAACGGTCCTGACATGATTCTGACAAAGCATTCAGTGTAAACAACGTACAGCGATGACAAAGGTCCCGGGATGTACCTGGCTAGCCTTGCGGCAACATAGGCTGATGAGAGAGAATATTAAACATTTACGAACTAAACATGTCCTGGTGTAAGCCTATAGGGTGTCCACAACAGTGTACATACCACGTTAAAGACTACAATAGCCAGCCCAGTTAGGGTTATAAAAAAGATATACAGTCTATGGATTAATCATATGCTTTCCATGCATAAGCATTCCATCTCCAAGCTGCAGTGGGCTGTTTACCTTTCACTGGCCCCGCCCCCAAGCTGCAGTGGGCTGTTTACCTTTCACTGGCCCCGCCCCCAAGCGACAAAAGTATTTCACGCGCGCGTAGAAGAGATGGCAAAAGTGTTCAACGCGCGCAGAACACAGACCACGAGAAGGAAGAGGGCAGGTCACGAGCGCACACACGCGCGTATTGTGGCTCGTGGTACTGAGTCTGCGCGCGTGTGGTGTGAAATGTGCGCGTGGAGAGTAGTTTGCGCGCGTGTGAATTACATAAAGCTGCGCGTGTATGTGTTATTTGAGCGTGTGGACTTTTGGCGTAAATCTGGCGCCATACACAGGGAGAGCATGCAAACTCCACTCAGAAAGGCCCTGTTCTGACGCACACACACACACACACACACACGCACACGCACACGCACACGCGCACACGCACGCACACAAATAGAAGCAGTCCATGAGTCCCGTTCCTGGATCACACAAAGACTGGTTTTGTGTGTCTGTGTGTGTCTGTGTGTGTCATCATGTGTGTGTCTGTGTGTGTCTCGTGTGTGTCTGTGTGTGTCTCTCATCATGTGTGTGTCTGTATGTGTCTCTTATCATGTGTGTGTCTGTGTCTCTCATGTGTGTGTCTGTGTGTGTCTCTCGTGTGTGTGTGTGTGTGTGTCTCTCATCATGTGTGTCTGTGTGTGTCTCTCATCATGTGTGTGTCTGTGTGTGTCTCTCATCATGTGTGTGTCTGTGTGTGTCTCTCGTGTGTGTGTGTGTGTCTCTCATCATGTGTGTGTCTGTGTGTGTCTCTCATGTGTGTGTCTGTGTGTGTCTCTCATCATGTGTGTGTCTCTCATGTGTGTCTGTGTGTGTCTCATCATGTGTGTGTCTGTGTGTGTCTCTCATCATGTGTGTGTCTGTGTGTGTCTCTCATCATGTGTGTGTCTGTGTGTGTCTCTCATCATGTGTGTGTCTGTGTGTGTCTCTCATCATGTGTGTGTCTGTGTGTCTCTCATCATGTGTGTGTCTCTCATCATGTGTGTGTCTGTGTGTGACTCATCATGTGTGTGTCTGTGTGTGTCTCTCGTGTGTGTCTGTTTGTCTCTCATCATGTGTGTGTCTGTGTGTGACTCATCATGTGTGTGTCTGTGTGTGTCTCTCGTGTGTGTCTGTTTGTCTCTCATCATGTGTGTGTCTGTGTGTGTCTCTCATGTGTGTGTCTGTGTGTGTCTCTCATCATGTGTGTGTCTGTGTGTGTCTCTCATCATGTGTGTGTCTGTGTGTGACTCATCATGTGTGTGTCTGTGTGTGTGTCTCTCGTGTGTGTCTGTTTGTCTCTCATCATGTGTGTGTCTGTGTGTGTCTCTCATCATGTGTGTGTCTGTGTGTGTCTCATCATGTGTGTGTCTGTGTGTGTCTCTCTCATCATGTGTGTGTCTGTGTGTATCTCTCATCATGTGTGTGTCTGTGTGTGTCTCTCATCATGTGTGTGTCTGTGTGTGTGTCTCATGTGTGTGTCTGTGTGTGTCTCTCATCATGTGTGTGTCTGTGTGTCTCTCATCATGTGTGTGTCTGTGTGTGTCTCTCATCATGTGTGTGTCTGTCTGTGTGTCTCATGTGTGTGTCTGTGTGTGTCTCTCATCATGTGTGTGTCTGTGTGTGTCTCTCGTGTGTGTCTGTGTGTCTCTCATCATGTCTGTGTCTGTGTGTGTCTCTCATGTGTGTGTCTGTGTGTCTCTCATCATGTGTGTGTCTCTCATGTGTGTCTGTGTGTGTCTCATCATGTGTGTGTCTGTGTGTGTCTCTCATCATGTGTGTGTCTGTGTGTGTCTCTCATCATGTGTGTGTCTGTG